AAATGCAGTAATTTATTTTATATAATTTTTTTTTAAATACAACAATTATTAAACATTGTATAATTAATAATTATTGTGCTGTATGGAATGTGTAATTAGATGTATAACCAATGAAATTTTTACAATTCCAGAAATTGAGGGTGACAATTTAGTAAATCTAACAGGTACTTACATTTCTGGCTTCGAATCAAGCTCTAATTCCGTCTCTTTTACACTTATGGAGCTGGCAGAAAATCCTGAGTATCAAGACAAGGCACGTGAGGACATAGAACGTGCAATCAAGGAGCACGGCTTGACCTACAGTGGATTTAACGACATGAAATACTTAGATCAGTGTATATACGAATCTGCTAGACTGCACCCGCCTGTACCAACTGTTGATCGCCTAACCAAAGAAGACTACGAGGTTAGCCACTTATTTATGATGAGTTTTCAAAAAATATCAGGTGCCAATACAAAAATCAATTTATCTCTATGCTATCAATACCATGTTGCATGAGCAACAATCAAAATTGGGAAAAAAAAGTTTTGGGGCAATACTATGTTGATTTTTGGTTAGACTTGACCTGAGCTCAAAATACATTGATTGAAGGGATCACTTGAATAACAAAAAATACACATTTCCGCCCTCGGGTGGTTTTGGGAGGCTGGTACTTCCTCGGGCGAAAAAGCAGTTTTCCGGAGCTCGTTTGGAAAGTCTCCCTTACGAACCTCGTTACGTCCCTTGCCTTCGGCTCGGGCCGCAAACCTCTCGGTTCGCAAACAGAGACTTTTCAAACTCGTAGGAAAACTACCAATTTGCTTGAGAGAAAATTTTAAGTTATAACAATTTTTTATTTCTCACTTTACGAATTACTAATTCAAAGACAAAAAAATGAGAGATAAGTTAATCTTAGTCAAAGTAATAATTTTATCATAGTTTTATCTATCAACTTGCAAAGTTAAAAAAAAAGAAAGAAGGGCAGATAATGAATGCTTGGTCACAATGACGAGATAAAAGTAATGCGTTCTTCCGTTTTATTTTACTTGTTTGCTAGTCCACCTGAAATCTAACGCAAGCAATGATAAGCTATTGTAGATTTTAAAGAATTTAATTTCTAACAGCTCGTTTGTTTCAGATTCCTGGTACCGGTGTTACTATAAAAAAAGGAACTCCGATTTTCGTCTCACTCTATGGCATGCATTTGGATCCACAATTCTTTAAGCAACCGGAGATTTACGATCCAAGCAGATTCGCTGGTGGCCAAACAGTATCTGATGCTTTCCTTCCATTTGGATTAGGTCCCAGAATGTGCCCCGGTGCGTATGAACTTATACAAGTTAAATAGAATTTAGTTTTAAATTAGCATATGATTAAAATATTGAAATTTTATACGTCTGTACGTGGTGCAGAGAGAAAGAGAGAGAGAGAGAGAGAGAGAGAGAGAGAGATAGAGGACTTTGGATCGAAAAAAAATACATTTTGCGATTTATTCAAAAGTTAACAGAAAGTGATATCAATTTAACTTATTTTATAGTTCCTTCAACATAAACGTCTTCTTAAAACTATATGCAATTATGTAACGTATCGTTTAAAATTCATCCAGATTTTTTTCTCAAGCGTTTTTGACAAGAAAAGTAGTTTTGAAGATTATTAGTAAATTTTTATTAATAAGCTTTTTTTAAAAAGCTTTTTGGCGGATATCTTAAAAACACATGTAGGATGATTTGGAGATGAAAGAAATCTAACGTTTTTAATAAAATAAGTGTTTGGCCACATCAAGGATGGCGTGCTCTTCCGCACTGCCCCAGGATGGCACATGGGTGTACTCCACAACTCCACCATCAATAAGGATGCACCTTTTGTTGGATTTTACATCTTCCACAAGCCATGTCTGCTACTTCGTGATCCCAACATCATTAAGGATGTCATGATTCGAAGATTCGATAACTTCACAGATCGCCATTATGCAGGTACCCAGCAGATGGACAGTTTGGGTATGACCAATCTATTCGGTCTCAAGAATCCAACCTGGAAATACCTGAGATCTAAGATCACTCCCACACTCAGTGGCAACAAACTAAGGCAAATGCTGCCTCTGTTGATGCAGACAGCCAAGACTATGATGAACTATCTAAAGGAGCAAACCAATAAGTCAAACGAACAGGCAGTGATTGATGCCCAGGAATTAAGTTATAAGTACACCACTGATGCCACTGCCAATATCGCTCTTGGTATCACAGTTGACTCGTTCCATGATCCTAATGAGTACACCAAATTCGGTAACGATTGTTCTTCTATTTCTTACACTTGTAAAGGCTTAGGGTTGATTTTAAGTTTGATATTAAGAAACAACTAAACACATAATTTTATTAAATGTAACTGAAAATAAACCCTTATAGTGATTATTATCAATGTAGAAAAATCTGAACTTCAAACTTATCTCAAATTTAATAAATATAAAACAAAATTTTTTATTTTCAAGCCCTTAATCCTGATTAAGAACCTAGTGTTATTAAAAATAATATCACATTCTAAAGGTTCATAACTCATATTGATCCTGTAATCCATATTAATTTAATTTAGAGCTGAGGATATAAGAACTGTATTCTTTAATTACTTCTAGGTCGTAGTTACTTCTATTTACGTAAAGAAACTATTATTTGAGGAAAAATGTAAAGCATATAATTCCTAATATACTTGCATGGATTATAATTGTAGTGTGTATAATTTTGGATTGGAATTTTACTCCGAAGATATTGTGAGCTGTCAT